ATACGAGGGAAAGGTCTAGTTCCAAAAGGCCGCTACCTCGGTATCACCTGGACAGCACATCTAGTAGCGAGGTGAGCACTTGATAAATTTATGTGAACAATACCACTTTACAACTTTAAATTGTTAAAAATTCTGTAATTTTGAGGTTATGTACATAATTGTATAGTGCTCCTTTTACTTTTGTCACGGAATGTACTTGTTCGATGATACACCATAATTGAATCTTTGTGCTGTAGGAGGAGGAAATCGTGAATTTAAAGCAAGCAAAAAAGAGAAAAAAGATTAATGCAGTGGGCTCTGACAGCGACTGACCACCCAGTGTCTTCAAATGTCACATGGACCACGTCACGTGTGTGCAGCAAGCTAAACTAGCCTTAAGAATAGTAAGATAATATAGTATATATAATAGATTTATTTAGCGCGACTTGTAAATATAGCGTACGTTGAAGAATGAATGCGAAACCGCCGTACCGACAACAAGGATCTTGCACATATTTCGCAGCCACAGTATATTAGCAACGTTGCCAGACTCTATTTCCATTAATTCCGTTATTTGTGTCGGGCGCATTCTAACGCGAAACAGATTTAGAATGCATGTGATATCTAACGAGAAGAAAATTTATAAATACTGGTTATAGCATTTCTAGGTAAACGCATGTGACAGATTAACATTGTCGTGGCGGATCGATGCTCTGGATTTCGGAGCTGCGAAGCCATCGTGTGTCTGTCAGATAAAGTTACCGAGAGGTGAGACTAGTCACGAATTAAATTATTTTGATATACTCTTAAATGTATGAACGCATAAATTTAAGATTAAAAGGATCGGATCTGGCAATGTTGGGAAGGGGGTGAAGCGACACGACGAAACTACTTTCCGTGATCACTTTGTTTCTAAAAAAAAAAAAGAAAGAAATCCGTCGTCCACGCGCAATCTTGTGGTAGACGTCAAAGAATCCAAGCACGATTGTGCCTAGTTTTATCATTCGTTATAATTTGTTTATTAATTTTGCGATTTAGCATGGTATCAATTGACCTATTGGCGAAATTTATTTCATTTTCCTTTTCCTTTTCATTATACTATAATTACCTCTTAAGATTCTCGCGTCTCACACAATTGTTAACGAGGAAAGAAATGGTTACGTTTGTTGCCATAAACTGTGAACGCAATTTGTACGAATCGTTGATAGCTTTTTATTAGGATTAAGGACCTTCTGCGGGAGATCGGGGATGTATCAAGGACGCCCTTAGCTCCGGCAAGAAGCGTACAGTTTTATGACCAAATGTATTTTACGTCTGCGCTTAGTAAGCATAATCATTCTCAAGACGCAAGAATTTTTATATTTTGCACGATGGAAGGTTGTCCGTTTTTCTAAGTATCGTTCTTTTTTTTTTCAAAATACCGAATATTTTTATGTTTGTTTCGAATGTTTTACGCGAAATTGATATTAGATGATTAGATGAAACATGCGACTGTTCCTCTTTTTAATCGTAACTTTTACGATGTATTTACATTCACAAAGAGATATATATATATATCTGTATATGTTATGCGCAATTGTATCCGAATCGTTAAATTGATTTACAATTTATAAAGAGCATACTTCCTCAAACATTTTCCGTAAATCGAGTTCAATATTACTTATCATCTATTATCATCGTCTAGGTTAATTATCGCGTTGGTCGCAAGATTCGTTGACTTGACATCGTCTGTGACACCTTCCACGAGTATAGAACCAGGCGTCATGTACACTTAAGTCCTAGAAAACGTAAGCGTGAAGTGTCACCGTTCACCTCTGTACATTTCCTGTAAAATCGGTTACTTGTAGTACACGTAAGTAGCTGCGTTATGTATTTTCTAGTTTGTACATACCAGAGAGAACGGGAACGCGCGAGTGTGTTGTGCGTGTCATATGTGTGTACGTTGTGTGTGTGTGTGTGTATGTCTGAGAGGGCGCGGATAGACATTTTCGAATACTGAAAGAGACTTTTTTTCCACAAAGAGGTTCGTGTTTCTTGCGCAAATCTGATTTTTATCGGACGAGAGCAAAAGTAAGATGGCGTATATGTCGGTAATAATGTCTTTACCTCGCGCACAGTGTGTGCGTATGAGCGCGTGCGTGCGTGTGTATACGTACCAGCCATTTGTAACTGTGTATAAGGTGTGACAGTCGATATTGTTATTAGGTCTTTTCTACTTGTACATAAACTGCGGCGTTATGTGAAAAAATATTTAAAAAAACTGGCGGATGATCAAACACGTGGGACGAATGTACGAACATGAAGAAGAATGCATGATATAGAGAACGTATACGTGTGAAAGAGATGTTGGTCGTAGACACAGATGGACAAAAAAGCGAAATTAACGATGCGCGAGGGCAATACGAAAAATACACCTGTAAACATTTAATGTTTTTAACGATCTTGTACACACGAATACACATGTAAATACATGAATATATTATCGTAACGCGAGCATAAACATTTAATGTTTTTAACGATCTTGTACACACAGAATACACGTAAATGTAAATACATCGAAAAAATTACCGGAAGTAAACACGTGATTCCTGTTCGTTTCTCCTTTCGCTTGATATCTCCGCCCTACCCCTCTCCACCTTTTATCAGGCATTCCGAACACGCGACGAACAATTTCTGTTTACATTTTTGCACGATTTCACTCGCATCGCAAATGTGTCGTAAATGTTTAATTTGACATTTGTACTGTACGTTTACATAGGGTGGTCCACGCAATTTGCACACCTTGATTGATTCCTAAAGTATACGTTGTATGAACAATCTTTTTATAATGCTATATTTTTTATGTCAATATGCCGTTAAATTGGCCCTAAGGTCGAATGTCATTCCGAAGAAAGGTTCACTTTGCTGTTTTCATTGAAGGTATGTATTCATTTTCAAAAGACTACTGGCATCCCTAATGGGGGAATTATGAAGAGAGGTGATTAAGCAAATGCAAATTAATGTAAAGCAAGAATTAAATGAATGTAATGAACGAACAATTGCACAATTGATAAAAAAGAATTGATGGTTTGACTGACAATGAGTCGCAGAAACTTATAATTAATTATTCCTCGTACGTCTCACCAGACGCAAGCCACTGTCTTTTTGGAATGCAAAACCTTTATCTAGCTGAGTTTATCTGAGAACATGCTCTTGTCGTCACGCGTTACGGAGTGCTATCAAATAAGATTGTTGACGAGGAAGAAACGGAACACATCGATACTACAATATTATGACAAGAATATGTGTTTTATCGATCGATTTTTTTTTTCATTCTTTTGTGACACAGTTACTAAAAATAATGAAAACATCTACTAGCAACAGAATGAAACGTTGGCATTTTAATAAATATGACTAACGTAAGAATGACGCCATCAATCTACGCATTGGTCTACGGCGTAGACTCTACGTCAACGATATCTCGTAGGACGCACAAGACTCTTCGTTCAACTCGATGGAAATGTAGATTCGCGGAGAGCTATCGAGTAGATTTCCATAACGAAAATTAGTTCGTTTCATTGTAGAGTCGCTTTTCCGAATCTTATATTCAAAGGATGAAATAATAGATTAAAATAAATGGAACTGTAATTATTTGTGGATACTCGTATTTTGCTACAGTTAAAGAGGAAATGGAATGCACTTACATTTAATAAAAAAGATATATCAAGTGATAATCAATTTATTTTTTATTTGAATGTTAATGTAACTTTGTTTCAAGTTACAAGAAGTTCAAATTCTCGGATAACGCTTTGCATGCTGGCCAGTTTATGGACCTGAGAACACTATAACCATCTAGCGGCAGCACCTGAACTAAATCGCCTGTGCATAGGCAACCCTTCGTGCTTACATGTTGAGCGCCTGTTCGAGCGCACGGCCTGGGTATGCTCGACAAGTACGCATAGGGGGTTGCCTGTGCACAGGCGCTTTAGTTCAGGTGCTGCCGCTAGATGGTTATAGTGTTCCCGGGTCCATAAACTGACCAGCGCCAGGAGCAACATCCGAGAATGTACATTTTTAGTACTACAACAGCTTTTATCTTTAATTAAAGTCTCGCATAGTAAAATAACAGAGGATTTTTCAATTTTTATAGTATTAGGAAGACGCGGTACACGTTCTTCGATTTGTCATCTTGAAACAGCCCGTTTAATTGATCCTAGAACTTGCAATGAACTACGACAAACGATGTTTGCACAATTCCTTTATTAAAAATGTTCAATGACATCAATAACAATTATACCCAAATGCACAAAGAAACGTTCTCTCGTTAACCAATTGAAACTGAGAGAGTTCGATAAAAATATTTACTTTGTATGATCGATATAGTCAGTTGCAATTAAATATTAGTAATCAGCTATGGATTTTCGACTTTTTAATAGATTAGTAGGCATGCATGAAGCCTACTACGTACCCGTGCGAAATTTGAAAGAATTCCGATAGCATTTGGCCAAGTGATTTATATTTTAAAATGTAATTGAATTTCGCGGAAAAGAATTTTGAAATGCCGCGAACATGCGCATTTATTTCGCGCAGCACGTGATCAAACTAATCAGAAAGTATGCATAGTGGGGAAGCTCATCGCGTTCCTTATGCTTATAAATCATTCGGGCATTAAAGCAGGGTTCAGGTTTATTGGGTGATACAATGAGTAATATTCTCGAATCTGTGTTTTGGAAACAAATCATCCGAAGAAATTCCAATTTAGCAGCGTGATTTATTAACGTTTAAACCATAAACGCGTATAATTACAATTAAGAAGAAATATGTTTCCATTACATTCGTAGCAGAAAAGAAAGAAAATATTTATGAACGATTATTGTTAATATTAGAATGAATAAAAGATACAAAAATAATAATTCTGCTTTAATGCGTGCCTCGTTCGATACATTAAAAAAATGAATCACTTACCTCGAGATGTTCATTCCCTGAAAATAAATCAAGGCGATTGTCCATTCAAATACGTGGTTCAAAATGCAAAGAGACAATTATTTTTAATCGATATATTTAAAATTAGTGGTCATGGCCAGTTACGTTTAAACAATACACAACACTGCTCCCACAGTGCAGAATTCGCGTTTACTTTCCTTTCAGGTAGAAACAGCGGAGTCATCGTCAACAAACAGTTTCAAAACGAATCACCCGCGAATTTTCCAATCGCTGTTCCGACAATTAGGTGCATATGAACATTTAAGACGGTCGAACCCTTTCGCGACGCACGAACGGAAATTGAGGACTCTACGTATACTTACTTTCCATTGTGCCTCCTTTACCGATGTCAATTAGCGCTATGGGCATAAGATATTACACTGTGGCTCGTAGAGGACTATAGTTGCCCTTGAACTATAGCGAGCATGCTTTACGGGAAATGATTATAGTCGCTCGCCGTCTCGAAAGGGTTCAAGGTACACAACGGTATGTAAGTTTACTATTATCGTCGGCAACACGCTAAAGAGGGACAGTGATTGCAAAAATTGTAAAAGTTCTCGACAAAAATGTCCGGGGTTAGAGAGAGGGCACAATTTCGTAGACATTATTCGAGCCGTTCGTCATCATCGTCAGAGACGGGAGAAATTGTGTTTGATCGAAAAACGACGAATAAAAGAACTGTGCAACGACTTATTCACAACGTTGATTCGATTGAGCTGATATTTTGCCTCGATATAACGACACGAATCCTTCTCATTGTTGTTAGAAATATTACGGTCGCCTAAACATATTTATTATGAGCCTCGCTTGACTGGAAACTAATACAAATTAATATTTTATATTTCGCAGCGTTTGTACACGGGACTATAATTAGTGAATTCGTGTGAGTTTCCCGATGAAAATGAGCCCAAACACGACCGTATTCGGATCGTATTTAATTAGACGCGTGAGAATGATTTCAATAAATGATTCGAATGATGAATAATCGAGAATGGTCCGAATGGGATCGTGTTTGGGCTCGTTTTTATCAGGAAAATCTCACAAATCCATTCCTGATACTTCCAAAAAAAAAAAAAAAAAAAAAAAAAAATATTCTGAAAAATAACATGCCTTAATATTTACTAGCCAAGGACTCATCCCTTGTCACACTACATTCAACCTTGGATCAAGGAAAGTCGACGCTCGAAAACCTCAACCCTACCCCGAAATAACAACACGCACAAACCTAATCGGTGTCGTTACATCGAGGCGAGACGTAAATTTTGATTGCACAATTCGGATTGGCCTCGTTGATGTCGAGGGTAAACAACGTACAGCTGTTTATCTTTCATTCGGTTAATCGAAATTCGTATCCGGATAAGAATTTCGCCCGTCTCTGGTCTTCGTGCTGTTCGACAATCTGTCACGGGCGTGTTGATTCTATAATTAGGTACTTATACGAAAATCATATCTAGCATCACCATTTCGCAAGGCTTTCCCGTTCACTTAACGCTCATGCAAGATCGCTTGGTAACGTCCCATTAACACGTTCTCGTTGTATACACGCGACAAAGAAAGAGTTCCTCTACGTAATCACACCGTCGTAGATACAATCGGGCCACGCGCACGCAACTCTAATATACATACAGGTTCCTCTGGCCCACACATTAGGTTTTCGTCGTTTCTTTCCTCCAGTCTTCTTCCTTCGATTTCTTCCGCGTCTTCCTCGTCATCTTCGCGCCGTCCCACGAACGCGACTCTACCATGGTATAGACTTCGTACGTATATATATGTACACAGTAGTAACAGTCTAGGCTCCTAAGGCTGCTAAAAGTCTCACTTGTAAGATCTCCCCCGCGAAAGAACGGGAGCGGCGACGCGTGTTTCAAGAGTTCAGGGTTCTCGATGAGGGGAGTGGGGGGAGAGAGAGAGAGAGAGAGAGAAAAACGTTGGAAACGTCTCTCATCGTGTGTCTAGTAAATCACTTCGTATACAGTGGCTTTTTTGTCACCGGATCCGGTCACGATGTACTTGTCGTCGGCGGAGATGTCGCAGCTCAGCACCGACGAGGACTCCTTCGACTGCAAAAAGAATTTATATCGGTTCTCGTGTGGTCGTCGCGAGGTTCGATCTGCGTCCCGATCGGACACGCAGGATGCATGCACGAGCGAAGATATAACAGTGCGCGCTGAAGAAACGGTTTGCTGAATTTACAGAAGGCCAAATATTAAGTTTCGTGATTTCTTTTTACGGAGAAAAATTGCAGAGGACGTTTAGTAATTCATTCGATTCATTTCACTCCCAACGGAACATTTCTGTCGCGAGTTTCTAAAATGAGATCGTTATCTTTTTTATTGAAAAAAAATGCAATATTTTAGAGAGGTGTGTTTAAGAATTGTTTGCACGTCTTTATCGGGTACTGGGCATCGATATCAATGACACAGATATATGTTCAAACAGTAGATCATGAGAAATCTGATGGGTTCCAGGTGATTCATTTGGTAACAACCCTGCATCCCTTGCAGAACCATATTTTCTACTACACCCTGACTGTTCAACAATTTCGAAAAAGTTTACAAAAAATCTATAAAAAAAAGACTTAGTTCCCTGTAGTTGCAGTAACATGTTAGCACTGTTGTGAAATTGGATGACAGTGATTTTCACTGAAAAACTAAAGAAATTAATTCTGAAAGTGAAGCATCAAAGAAACTGAATTTAAATGAAATTGATAAATTATGTAGCTTCCAATAGTCTAAATAACATGTGATCCTACCAGAAATGTTCAAGAATATTTGTCTGGCAGTCAACGGGTTAACCCTACAGTGCACAACCGCATTTTTCATTGATATTTTATTACACAACAGGATAAACAACAACTTACGCGCTGTTCCTAACAGAAATAAGACATCCACGTTATGAAAAGGTCACAGCACCATCGAAGATAATTATTTCTGCGGTAAAGGGTTAGTCGCGTTTGTTTCCATTTGAAAAAATTGCGCACTGTAGAGTTAAGTTGGAACATCCCATTCGATATCGTGCAACCTTTCGTGGTTTCTAAAGTACCTTATCCAATTGCTACCCACCTGGAATATCGAGGCGCCGTACGGCGTGCGCCAAGCGTTCAACAGATTGTCCTTGCCAGTGGAGACAAACCATTTGCCGCAGGACGCGAAACGCAGTGATAGGACGCAGGATTCGTGGACGAGCAGGCAGTACTTGTCGGACTTGGACGCGTGGAGCACCTCGACCTTGGAGTTCTCCATGCCAACCGCGAGCCATTCTCCCGTGGGACAATATCCTAACGAGAATATCTGCGAGTTCAAGTCGTGCTGCTGCAACTGCCTGCCTTCCCTAAGATCCCAGGAACGCACGGTGTTGTCCAGCCCTCCCGTCCAGAGCTTCGTGCCATCCGCGGAGATGTCGATGCAGGAGGCGCCGTCCGTGTGCCCTTGGAACTGCCGAATCAGGATCTCGTTGTGGAGATCCCACACGGCGATGTTACCGTCGCTGCAGCAACTGAAGCAGACTTTCGAGTCCGGCGAGATGGCCAGCGCGTAGCAGGCCGGCGCCGAGGAGGTCAGTTCGGCTTTGATCCGCGGCGTTGGGCTGGCCAGGTCCCAGATGATCAGCTGCCTCGCCTCGCCTCCAACTATCAGGGTTCGGCAGTCGGGCAGCAGCTTCACCGATCTGACCATTTTTTGCGACAGATTTTTCAATATATTTCCGTGAACACGTGTAGTAAATATGATGCGAATTACGTCGTGTTTGGTCTCATTTTAATCAGAAAAATGTCAGGAATACGATGGTAACAGTTTTACAAGAAAAACGGTAATAATAAAAAAAGGTTCGATCGTTGCATTAGCATTGTCTCATCGAGATATCCGATCATGTTACTGTCCATTTATTAGATATAAGAAGTGTAAAGCGTAAAGTGCAAAAGTGTAAAGTGTAAAGTGAGATCAGATATAAGTTAGCAGGCACAACATTGAGAAGCCGTTACCGGCGCTAGTTGTCCGTAAAAGAACAAGGTATCCAGCATACAATTATTTTTCAAAAAATGCATCTTCATAAATTATACACTACCATTAATATATTATTTTAAAAGTTACGAGTTTCGTCTCGAGCGTTCATTTACACATCACTGTGCATCGTTAATTTTAAGAAACATGAAAAATCGCGGGACGTCTCGCGATTTCCTCGCATCGCCCTAACGAAAACGTCACCGAGCGGAAAGATTTGATATAGCGTCGTACAAGTTTGCTCAGCGTCGGTAGGCAGAGTGCATCCCCCGAAGGAAACTGACCTAATATAATTGTTGCGTTGCAGGCAGTCCAGTTGCGAGACGGGCTTGATGCTGCCGCCGCCTTCGTGTCCGATGTCCCAGACTTTCACGCACCCTTTGCCGCCGGTGTAGACGTACTTGGTCGGATTCGAGATGGTAACAGCGCACACAACTTCGCCGTGAGTCAAGGTATTAATCTGACGCGCGTGACGTGGAATTCCCGGTCCTATCAGAGCGTCCGTGGGGAATGCCACAGGCTGCATTTCACCCTCGCCGTTCGCATGGAACGAGATTGCTCTGCGGTGAAATGTAAAACGTTAATGGCATTGTCGTTGCTGGGAGTCCTCGATGCCTTCGATCGCTTAAGAGCCGAGGCGTTCAACGAAAACCAAGTGCACGTAGAAACAATGTGGGACGCGCTTCCCCGAACTTAATGGTTCGCGCTTTAAACGCGAGGAGATGTTAACCCTTTCGCTGTTACACGCCCTATAGGCACCTCGAGCTCCGACGCGTACGCAGCGTGCGTAGGGGAGCATCCATGGGATAATACGACTGGCGCCAGTCGATTGGCGCCAGTTAGCGCGCGGAGGTATGGAAATTCAACTGGCGACGGAAAGTCGACGCTAGATTTATGGAAGTTCGAAGTATCCTACAATGTTTGCTATTTTAGGTTTACTCTTTACGAGCTTTTGAGCACGTTTTTATCTATTCCGAAAGTAATTTCGGCGCATGCTTCCTTTTTTTATTTATATTTTATTTATTTTCTGACTTTAGTAAACCTAGTGTTAATGAACGCGAGTGTTGGACGCAGCTGAATGCGCTGTCGAGTGGTTGGGACGACGCGACAGTAATCGAGGTAAGAACTATGACAGTTAGAGGGTCACTGCTGTGTTTAGATTCTTTGCGTTTCTTCTACTTAGACCATGTTTATTTTTAGACTGTAATTAACATCAGAGAGCATATGCTTCGAACGAAAAATTTAGGAATCGAATAATTAATTAAACTCCAATATAAATAAGCAATGTATCTGATCACTTTTATTTTGGTTTATCTTCTCTATTCCCTCTATTTATCCTCTTTTATCCTGTGCCCTGCTGCGTTACGTTGTATTATGCATCGATACGCTATGTTTGATTGTATCATGCCGCGCAATGCTGCGTTTCTAACGTAAAAATTGTATTTCATCGCTCCTATTGCCGTTCATCTTCTCCGTTTCAGATGAAGGAACCCAAAGCTGTTTGGATTCCTGCGACGCAAAGAGTTAACCGTTATCGACTGCCACGGTCATTAAACCGGAGACCTGAAGCTTTGGGTCGGGCATGATCCACCGAAATCAACAGTACAGAGTTTGCTGGGTGATCGCAGGCGCAGCCCGAGTGCACGAACAATTCCAGCAGCCACCCATCTAAGCAGTGACCCAGAGCGGCTTAACTCCACCAACCAGACTCGCTTGTCATTTCAGACGATAATCTCTCGAAGGCTAGCTTAGCAATTACCAACTATTTAACGAAAACTGGCTCGACGAGTTCTCTATAACTTCTCTATTTCTCTATAACTTTCGAAAAATAATCCACTTGTAACGAGTGCATTCGAGTTTCGCGTCTCAACAGCGAAAGAGTTGTACACCAAGTTCGCTGGCGAATTGTCGTTCGTGACACAAAACGTTTTAAAAGAATCTATACCATAATTATTCACACGGAGAATCTCAAAGAGAGTCTCATTTTAGGTAGACCAGCATAGCTCTTTAAGGATTAAGTCAACAAAAAGAATGCCATTTCCTCCGGAATGTCAACCCTTCAAAGTTCAGGATATACAGGGTGTTCCAGAGTTCGTGTAAGAACCGGAAATAAGAGTTGAGACGATTCTGAACCGAACTTTCCTTTGCAAAAATCTCGGATGGTGCTTCGTTTTTGAATTATTAAAGAAAAACCAGCGACCAATCACACGTTGGGAACTATGTATGGTCTCTCGGCTAAGCGCGCTGCTACACGGTCGCTGTGATTGGTCAACGGTTTTTCATTAATAATTCAAAAACGAAGCACTATCCGACATTTCTGCAAAGGAAATTGTGGTTCAGAATCGTCTCAGCTCCCATTTCCGGTTCTTACACTAACTCTGGAACTCTATGCATTGGTAATTTTCTAAAAAAAGCTATTGAAAAGATACTTATGGCAATGGCTACGTACGTTTTACCGCCAGGAACGTTGCTCATCCCGTTACTCGGGGGTATCCTTACGTGGCCATCGAAACCGAGCTGTAAAAATGGACGGAATGCATGAATTGTTGTACAAGTTGACCAAGGCCAGTGTCAAGGACGCGCGTTTCTTAAGAAATAAATTCGAGACACGGCCACGGGCAACGATAAGAATTATTCGCGGCCAACGCATCGCGAAGGATTCTTCTTCCCGGACAAATTCGATTCACGTTTCCCGTTTTATTCGACGTCGCTGTTCTTGCTCGAGGGAGGTATAACAAGGCTGCAAACAAGCTCGTTAATGCGAGCTTCTAAACCTACGGTTGTCTTCAAGAGGGGCCCCCACGTCAAAGAGGACTATTACCAAGAAATCTTTGTGTACTTTAGCTTATTATTGCCAATCATCATTGAATCGCTAAGGTATTTCGATAAAGTACTCTACTTTCGTGATCGGAGCAATAATTAGTATAGCAGTGGCGCGAACAGCTTCCTTTTATTAATTTTAGTTGAAACATTCAATAAAGTATTTTGTTTGTTACAGACCCTTCTCGAAACACCGATAGCGATGGACTAGGGGTGTGCGGGTACCCGATTTTGGTTCGGGTCGGGATTTAATCGGTTCAAGTCTTAAAAGTCTCACTGCACAGGATTTTACTTAATTAGCATGTACTGGAAGGTCTATTTAATTTTCAATACTTTGAATTAAAGCGAATTGAAGAATGTTTCAGGACCCATGTTAATAGATTGTATGTTATAGTTTAGGTATGACAAAATATTCACTCTTCTACGTAGACAAGTAAAAGAAATATGTTACAAATAAAAAACAAATAAATTTAGGATGTTAAAGAATCACTTCTGTTTAAAAGGGCAGGATAAAAAAAAAATATTAATATAACGAGAGAAATAAATATCGCAAACATTAAGTTAAACAGTTTTCAAAATATTCATTTTAATCGATAAACAATGTAATACCAACAGGATCGAAATTATTTTATTTGTAATTATATCACAGATTTATGGGTTGTATATAGACTTTTGTGATTGATTATACTTGGATGACATAGCTACGATCTGTTGAATATACACACATTGCTATAGTTGAACTGTATTGTTGTCGGTATTGTTGCATAAAATCGCATTAGTTAAGCAAGTAGTTCACGTTGTCGAATACACGAATCTCCATCCGCATGAACGAAACTGTATCGCGTTTTCCGTCGTTGAATCCTTAAGCTGGATTCACACTATTCACTATTCGTTCAAATACCCTTCAATGGATTTTATCTTTTGAAGAACGACAGTCGAAGCACGGATAAAATGAATCCAGCTTTAGAGCCGGTTTCCACGAGCGTTGAAGCAACGTTAAAACGCCGTTGATATTGCCGACATTGAGCTACCAATTTCCCGGCTCGAATATGTTTAAGATATACAGAACGTTGAATTTTGCAATTTCGATCGATTTAAGGGGCGAAACCACGATAGAAGGCCGGATATTAAATGTTTTCTATAGAGAAGAATTTATTTAATTTTTAGTTCATTTTGAGAGTATTGTAAATATACCTTAAGGTATATTCGATAATTTGTTCACATTGAAATCTTCGAGTTATGACGAAAAAGTTGTTAAGGAGTAAAAGATGATTGCAGAGAGTGTACAGTAAGTCCCGTCTAAGAGACGCTAACTCTGCCTCTTAGACGTCGAAGAGTCTAACACGCGATAGACTTTAAATTCCTTTCAAGCTCGATGCTTACATTACGAAGCTCGCAGTTCCAAGAAACGAGAAATCCCACGCGCCTCTTAGACAAGATTCATTTCGTTACTCGTACATCCGTATATTAATCGATTAATCAGATCCTGGAGTGTACTATTAATACCGATAGGATGAAGATTACTAATCCCGACCCGACGCTACCCGAGCCGAAATTTTCAGGTACCCGCACACACCCTCCCGTTACGAAAGTGATCAACAACCGAATGTATAGTACATGGAACAAATATAGTGACTGTCTTAAAGCCTCCTTCTCGTTAAATCCGCGCTAACGATGGAATTTCCTCATTATCGTCGTTATTAAACTTCCTGTTAACTATAGACCCGTATATAATGAATACGATTCATTTTCTTTATCATAGAATTTCTTGCATGTTTTTAAGGCAACAGGATTCCTTAAAAAATTACATAGTTTTGTAAAAAAAAGCATCGTAGAATTGTCTTTTTGAAGTGAGACTTCTGTACCAGAATTTATGTAAAATTGATATGCTACTGACGTGATAATTCGTAGCCAGGTTTGCCACGTGTTCTACTTGTTGTAAGACAGTTTGTATGGTAGGTCGTTGTATGTTTATATAGAATATTCTATTTAATACAGTGAATCGTTGGTAAGTGTCGCAGAGTCAGGTCCACAATGTGACATTTATCGAGTGGAGTTGGCATATGCTTTCACTTTTACTTGCACGTTTGGACATACATATTATACTCATCACGCGACAGTAATTGAAGAATATTTCGCGACACTTATCGACGATTCATTCTACCCGCAATACAAAGGCACGGATTCCAATATATGCTTCAGGACTTTTCGATTCTCTTTTGCCCAAAGAATTCCTGCACTTAATTTAAACCCACAGTCTCCTAAAAATAGTCCTCCAGTTTACCCT